ATGTAAGGAAAATTCTGAAACACTACTCATAATGCTCATGATGCCAAGGATACGGGATGTACATGATAGGTGATAGGTGATAGGTGATAGGTGATAGAATGAAAGAAAAAGTGAGAATGCCCAAGAGCTGTTGATGATGTTTAGCATGTGGAAAAGAGCAAAAACGTTATGGCAAGGTTTTATCTGTATCTTTCTTTCAATCTTACAGTGATGGTGTCTGATACTTTTAATCTTTTGCAGAGACATCGAGCAAAGTATTCAAGAGCTTTGGTGGCTGGTGCTCTTGGCAGATACATGATCATTTTCGCCAATGTCTGTGTGGAAGTTTCTGATTTTGATATCCATTCTGAGCATCAATGCGGTACAAGTGGTTTGCACATTATGCGAGACTAACACGTCATGATCTCAGTTTCCGAATGATCACAATTTGTCCGAGGTCATTTGCAACGAAAGTTACTGTGGAGCCATTGCAAGGTCATCCCCACCCTCCCTTTATCATTGGCAGAAACGCCAATGGAGCGGGTGGAATGAAGACTCCAAGCTGAGTATCATGGCACTTTCATTCAATGCAGATAGCAGGTACACCTTCACAGAAAACAGCCTGTTGCTGCATGCGATCAGAGACAAGGCAGAAAGCTCAGATGCGGATGTGCTTGTTATTGTGATTCAAAGCTTAGCTATGTCCTCCTTTGATCGGCAGAAGCTTTTTTCTTGGAAGGGCTGGGATCTCCACTTCTCTTCTGCCACTCTCGAGCGGAACTATGATGACTTTTGTCAACATATCCTCATCCTCCGTCGCACCGCAATGTCGCATGGAGACCATGAATTCCAAGCGCGAGTCCTAGGAGGAGCGGTCGGAGCGAGATGCTTTGCTAGGGGGATGCAATACGAGTCTAGGGGGATAGCAGGTGTTGTTTTAAGGATCCAGAGAAAGGTTCCGAAAGAATTGTCCGATGAGGATGCGAAGAACGTGGAAGATTCCACGCGATACATCCTCCTCCTTGCTGCTCATCTTCCTCCTTCAAATCAGAAGGGAGCATCCATGGCGTATCGCTGCTTGAATGAAGGTTTCTCCATGGTGATCCGGATGTGTTTGTTTTGTTCGAATCTTTGTGCATACTCTGCTGTTCACCTCAGTGTTTTATACTTGTATATCGAAACTCACATTTTTCTTTTTTGCCCTACAATCTTCTGTCATCTGCAATTTCAGTTGTTGGAAAGGGCTACTGCGGTAAGACTACTTGACATGCGTGTTCTGGCTACTCAATCTCATTTGAACATGTGATGGTCACTGATGTAGCCGAGATCTGATAAGTTGTGTCTAGATTGTCACCAAGGATGTTCTGGAGTTGTTTGTGAACGTAGAATTGCGGCAAACACAGAAGGCTCAGAGAACAGATTTGCAGAACAAGACTATCGTCAGCAGATTTCAGCATTTCTTTGATGTCTTCAATGCCAAGATCGACGATTTTCGTACAAGGAACCAAATGAGGGCACGATGTCTTGCAGATCAACCAGCATCAAACGAAACGAGATGTCACAAGTTTGTAGGGAAGAAACACGACATGATCTCGGGTTATCTCTTCCTGGGAGATTTCAACGCGTACTCGCACTGCAAGGAGGCGAGAGCGGACGGGAGTTGCGCAGTCTGGTCCGACATCCTGCAAGGTAAAGGGGAACGTCTCGGTGAGAAGAGTGATGTTGTGGTAGAGAGCATCTTTGATGGGCGCCTCAACTTCAGCAAGACGTTTGGATGGAGTGAAGATGGAGATGTACAGGAAGGGGTCACAGACTTGAGCTCGGCCCGCTCGAAGGGCCCGACGTTCCCGCCGACTTGCCATGTGACACGTTTCCCCAGCTCGATCATGCGATGATGCAGTTTCAGGCGAAGCGAGGGAGAGAAGCCAGGTGCGTTGAGGAGTACATGGCACCTGCCTCGGCGCTTGACCTCCCTGGATGTCCTCATGGCAAGGCAAGTGTCTTCCCCTACTGCTCATCCTCCCGTTCTCTTCTTCCTCCTTGGCTCTCCCTCTACTTGGTTCTGACCCTGAGCAGGCGATCGACCGGCCGCTGGTGGAGCCAGTGGGTCATGAAGATGCAGGAGATGACGATCGATGTCACGGGCCTATGATGCATTGCATTCTGCGAGGAGGAGTGCTCAGGTTCCTCTAAGACTCTCCCCTTCCCTGGTCTCATCCTCCTCCCAGGCTCTCCTTCTTTTTCCTCGGCATGATAACCTCAGGCCCCTTCTTCGTGGGGTTCGGTATCCCCCTGCTCTACCCCACCAATCCCTCTGGCGGCATCTTGTACGGAACTCAACTTAGCGACAAGGCCGACGAGAACGTGCGCGGGGTTCGGAGGGATGGGCACCAGCGCAGCAGTCGCTGCTGCTTTGAGGGTGAGGAGAAGCTCATGAGCTGGTGACTGGGGATCACGATAAGTGCCAGACAAGCCCCGGGGGTGGTGCGACCGGATCCTCTACGGGTTCAACACCAAGTGAGACCAAGCTGGGGGGGCAAGAGTGAGAGTGATACTGACAAGCTAGCAGCAACACCAAGTACACATGGCGGGAGTACGCGAGGATAGGTAAGTTTACGAACCTCAATCACAAGATGCAACTCTATGTACAAACGCATTCATGACACTCAAACTTGCCCGGAGCAGACACGGAAGACACGAGCAGGAGCGACCATGCCGCAGTCTTGGGCCTCGTCGACCTCTCCTTCCCTTAAATCAGGAGCCTCTAGTTCTGTAGCTGTAAGTAGATCTATCAAACATCGCAGCTCATACGGCTGTGAGTGGCTTCGTGCACGGGACAACACAGACCAAGGGCGTCTTCCCCAGCACGTCCTGCTCACTCTTGATGTCGGGGTTCACAGAGAGCATGCTTGCCATGGTGGTCTGGAAGCGAACGGCAGTCGAGCTGAAGCTCTCAAGCCCTTTGATCTGGTAGAGAAGGCCAACCCAGATGATCGGGAAGCCATAGTAGTTGCTGAGGTTGCCTGGCAGTGTCGCGCTAGGGAGCGGGTGTACGATGAGGTCAGGGTTGTCGATCCTTGCCTCGGCCTCCACTGGGCTGGGGTTGCCGTTGTGGAGCCATAGCCTGAACCAGTTAGTGTCGATGCCGTAGTCCTTCATGACCTCCCTCAGCGTGTCGCCCGATTGGATGCAGTACTGGCACTTCTGCACGCGGAAGGTCCAGCATTGCACCTGGAGCGTCTGATGCCCGACGTTGTCGCTAGCGGTGAAGCAAGCCAGGTGCTGCTGCCCTTCGCTTCCTCGTTGAGGCATCCACATGAACCGCCTGGTGGCCTGAATGCGACCGTTGACCTCTTTGGAAGTCGCCCCTTGCAGCACTGACCCAGCTGGCGCCGTCCCGCTGGAGGAGATGACCGCGTGATAGCCGACGACGGTCGAGGCCTTGACCTCCATCCAGGCTGTGCAGCCGACGTAGGCGTCGATCTCGTTGGGGCCGAAGTTGTCCCAAGTGACCATGGGCATGGCGACTGAAAGGGAGATGCATTGCTTCTCCCCGTACCACCCCCTGGACGTGGCAGCAGAGGCTGCAGGCCCCTTTCCGGCGCAGGAGGTGGAGTCATCCCGCGCTTGCACGCAGATCTGATAAGTTTGACCGACATGAGTCAACTGCGGCTTCCACGACAGGACAAGTTTTGCCTTGCTGCACTTGGAGTCAGTGCCATTGAGGATGATGGGAAACTCTCCCTTGTGGTCCTGAGCCATGCACATCTCGTTCTGCAACTTGATCAGCCGGGGGATACAGATGGTCGGGCTGGCCGTCATGCCTGCTGGCATGCCAGGGTCTGCGAGTACGAAGAGCGAGATGACGTCCTTGGGGTTCGGGTCCTGGGCGATGAAGGTGGCCGAGAAGTCTGAGCCGATGCCCACCACGAACGATTTGTAATCGGGGCTGCTGGAGTCCAGGCCGTTCAGGACGAGACGTCCGAAGGGAGAGGCGGTGAGGGAAGGGTCCGTGACGAAGACAGGAGGAGCCTGCAGCCTGATCCTCCAGCAGCGAGGAGCTGACGTCATGTCGCCATTGCTGTGATCTCTGAGATAGCTGGGGAGCGTGGGTGAGTTGGGATTTGCCTTTCCAACCCATCGCTTTGCGCGGAACCTTGAGTTGTCATATGCGACCCCACAGATAACCTGGTCCATGTTGAGGATTTTCTCACGGCAGTCATATGTGTCGACGTTGCTGCCCGTGTTGTTGCAAGCTTGCAGCGTTCTCACGATGATCCCGTTTCCTTGTGTGATGTTGAACAAGTAGCGGATCTCTTGGAGTGGCTTCGTCGTGTAAAGCACACTGGAAGCGTAGTCTGAGACGATCGACTTCGGCTGGGCAGAGCTGAGCGGCTCGACGCTGTTCTGCTGGCCGTTGTCTCCCGCACGTGTCCCCCCATAAGACTTGAACCCTTTACCGTCCAACGAACCTGAGCACTGCGAGGGGAAGACAAGGTTGTTGACCCCAAGGCTGTTCTCATAGATCTTGAAGAAGTCCAGGTTGTAGTTTGCCAGGTCCACGTCCTTGTCTTCGACGTAGATCCTCACTTGATCCCCTTGGTCAGGATCTTCAGCAGACAGTTTGAACGCCATCGGGTATCCTTCACAGACATGCACGTCTGTCCGTCCCGGCACCAGGTTACCTAGATCGTCGTAGGAGTTCTCGTCCATCGGCGTTGGGGCGACGAACTGCGGGGAGTGGCTTTCGATCCTGATCTTGATGCAGGTAGGGAGCGATCGGCAGGTCAACTTCGGCGAGTCTGCATTATGAATGTCCTTAGAGGTGAAGCAGCGAGTCACAGTTGCTCCGATCTGTTGCTCCGAGAAGTATTCCCTAAAGAAGCACTTGACAGCTCCAACACCTTCGCAATCCTTCGTTGGCTGAGCCTCACAAACTCCCCCGTCCACTCCGCAGTCCGAGTCTACGCTGCACTGCACATCCGACTTGGAGCACCTAGCAGCTACAAGGCTTCCGTTTCCTGACTCCCAGAAAGGAGCGAATTCAATCCGCACAGTGTCGCAAGACCGATAATAGTCGTGCGTGAAAGTCGAGCAGTTGAGGGGGTCGGGCCGGTCGGAGCACGAGTTGTCGGGAGAAGGGCACCCATCGGCCGAGATGGAAAAATCCTGAGCGGAGAGCGGGAACTTGCATTCCTCGTTCGCCTTGCACGTGAACTCTGACGGCACGTCAAAGGAGTTTGAGTCCAACGTCACGACTCTAGAAGAGGAGTCAAATTGACCCAGGGACCTCATCATGACCGGGGCCTGGTTGGCCTCACCCGAGTAACAGGGGTAGGCTGCAAAGATAGATTGTACCAGGGCTCCTTTCGGAAGGTTCGCCTCACTCTGCCAGAATGGCCAGGTTACGTTGGCTGACGGATTGTCGACGTCGGGGAAGGGTCGATCAGCCGCCAAGACCAGGTGCTGGGTGAAGGTGGAGGACGCGTTGCACTCGGAGACATTGGCACACAAACTCGCAAAGTTGAAGTCGAACTTGACGGTTGCACCGTTGCTTCCATCACCGTCATAGAATTGGCTGCAGACAGCGGAGCTGTCGAAGGGGTAAGGCCACTGGCCGCTGCCTGCCTGGGAGCCGTTGATGTCTCCCCCCCAGCACTGGAGCCCCGGAGACTGCGCACTCAGGAAGAACTGCTTTACCTCCTGCCCATCGTAATCGGCAGCCTTGAGCCGAAATGGAGGGTAGGGGGCGGTCTTGTCACTGAAAAACCAGTTCTTGAAAGGAGCCAACGAGCGCTGGTCTGCAGTGAAGAGGTCCGCGCTCTCTGTCGCAACGCTGGTAGGCACCTCAACAATGGGAGGAAACCCTGGACGAGGAGAGTAGAAGTTCTGGAGCTTTTCGATGTCCGCAGCGCTGGAGCAGTAGCGCCCAGGGACAGCAGAAGACGCAGTGCTAGGGCAGACCACAGCCAGCGCCTGCAGGGTAGCAAGAGCAGGAGCCGTGGCTTCAGATTGGAACCAGGACCCCTCCCCATCAGCCGAGAACAAGCCCTTCCAGTACGGGTCCGACCAGATGTTCTGACTGACAGGGTTCAACCTGCAAGGGGAGGGCTGTGGGCTGTCCCGGACACACTGACGGAGAAAGAGGCCGTCGGAGGGAGTTGCTGTGGTTGCCCCAGGGATCCTGAGGTAGGCAAGAACAGCAGCCTCCGTCGGACCAACCGTAACAGAAACCTTGAGCTCCCCGCTGACCACCGTCACCTTGTTGATGTCTTGAATTTGAGTGACGGTGAAAGCGTTGTCCACTCCTGGACAGTCGGTCGATTGTGCCGTGGTGTCGGCTGGGGTCAACACCACGTCATCGTTGTTCGGATTCTTCGAGTACTTGTATGCAACTGTGCAAAGCCTACCGAAACGTTGGCTGATGAATGTGCCTGAGCATTGAATTGCTGACCCTTCGTTCAAGACACATGAGAGTTTCACATCTGCGGTCTTGATGAAGGAGGTCTGCAGCTTGAACTCGATGACGCGATGGCTGGCATCCGACAGGAAGTTTGGATCGATCGCCCAGGTGAGCGATCCTCCAAGGAAGTTCTGAGCCGAGACCATCGAAGCCAAAGTGAGCCATGCCAACGATAGGAAGAGGAGCCGAGATGAGATCATGTTGAAGGAGAGTACCGAAGAAGGGTGGATCTGGAGACGAGGTGCTAGAGCGATGAGAACGAAGAAAACGAAACCGAAAATAATCAGACGAAGATGGTTTTTTTCAAAGACGCTTCAGCTCATGCCCAAGTCAGTCAGTGAATCAAGAAGGAGCAAGGAGCATGCGGACTCGACGGCAGAGGAGGAGAAGAGAGGAACAAGAGGAGAGTAGGCAGAAGGGGGAGGGGAGGAGGACAAGCTTATCTGTCTACAGAGGAACGAGAACAGCGAGCATGTCGCTCCCTTCGGAAGGGGCGTCAAGACCAAACCGGATTGGGGTCTGTTCTCGGTGGGTACTTGTTTTTTCTATCGGGTGGGGGTAGTTACCCATGGTGGTGAATGGGGTAATAGCACTGACACAGGACGGGGTATCTCCTGAAATTTTCCTTGAATAAGGGTAGGGTCATGGGCATGTAGGGGTAGGGGTCCAGTCAAGGTGGGGTAGTCATATTCGCTCCTGAAAGGTCAAAATGAATCTTCTGCTTCTTGGCTATGCTGCTACCCTCCTTCCTCCTGCTCCCTCCTTCTCTCGCCACCACCAGACCCATCCTCTCCCCCCATCCTTGTCCGGCATCCTCCTTTGATTAACTTCTCTTCCTCCTCCTCTCCTCTCCCCCCCCGGCTCCCTGTCCCCCTTCATCAATCTTGTACTGACTCATCCTCTCCTCTTCCTTCCTGTCACGCTCACTCTGATCCTCCTGTCCTGCTGGTGATCATCCTTTCAAGGCCCCTCATGCATCGTTCTATTTCTGCAATCATCCTCTCACTCTACCCTTGCACTCGCACCTGACCTGCGCTGATTCAATCTTTTATCTCCTACGTCGGTGATGGGAGTCATGACGGAACACCTGACAAGTAGTGTGAGAAGGTGTGTGCCGGATGTCATAACCTGAACGGCATCAAGTGGAGAGCGTGATTCGACATGATCCGCAACCAGAAACGCAGGTGAACGGAGTTTGCTTCTTGTATCCTTCAGAACTCACGTGTCAAACAGCGAGATGGGAGAGATGGCGTCGGGGACTCCCAGCGGCTTCAAGGCCCTCAAGCACATGAAACCAAAGTACAAGGACGATGACGATCATGGTAAAGACGTAACGGGTTTCCTTTGTGGTCCCTTATCGCTGTCGTTTCAGGGTATCAAGCTGGCAATGCGAAGGCGCAGAACCCGGACTCTGTTTTCCCCGTCACTCTGGTGGGCGACAACGTCTGTGCTCGGTCGTCTCATATGGTTCTTTTGCAGGCCGCATATGCGATGATCTTCTCAAAAGATCAAGAATGGAGAGATGGGTCTTGTTTGGCTTGCGAAACGTTGAGACGCTGATAGAGTAGCAGGGAGGATCAAAAGTCTTTCGCCAAGAAGATCTATTGGGTGAATCAGCATGTCAGATGTGACGCGGAAGCTGACTGAGTGTACAGCCTATTGCTGACAAGCTCAGATCCTCCGACATGATCGTCAGGGCCGATGAGACCGATGAGACCGATGAAGACAAGCATGTGGCTCTCGTTTATATCAGTGAGAAGAGACAGAGAGTGGTTGGCGAGCACATGAGCAACGAAAACCTGCTCTTTGTGCGCTTGAAGGAATCAGGTTGAACTGTCAACAACGATTTCGAAACATTTGCTCAATCCATACCCAGATGATGAGGATAACGAGGTCAAATACGGCGGCGGGTAGATAGATCGGAGCGATAGGTTCAATAGCGCTGAAACTATTTACTCCAGTTGGACAAAGTATCAGCAGCACTTGACACGATATTACGCAAAGAGCAGCGAGGTGCGCTGTGCTGACTTCTGGAGTCCACTGTGGACTGACATGGAGGCAGGGGACTTTGTTTTCAAGTTCTCACCAGTTGGCCATGATCGAGTTCCTGCTGAACGACAAGAAAGAGGAAGCTCTTGGACCGCAACTGCTGCCGAAAGATGCTTGCACGCCAGGGTTCAACATCCTCCAGCAACTAATTGCGGTGATTCATTCACTGTGCTGTACTCGTCGTTGAGAAGCATCGGCAGGATCAAAAGGTGGTCGCGACTTTCTGTCTCCACCACCCCGATAAGAAGATGTGGCTGGATCAGAATTGGTGTCAGACCTACTTGAGCAAACAGGTTCCTCCCTCTTCTTCACCGGGTTTGTGTTTGATGTGTCACATGTAGCCACTGGAAGACATCCGCGAGTACTTCGGTGAAGGCATAGCGCTCTACTTCGCATGGCATGGATACCTGCTTCAAATGCTGTGGGTTCCAGCCTTGACCGGTGACGGAAACGCTGCTGAGGGAGTGGAGAAATAACTCTGATGGGATCGGCTCTCTTGGTCAGGCATCTTCGTGTTTGCCGCCAGCATGACGGCCTACGGAGAAACAAGTTCGATTGACAACCCCTACGTCTGCCTCTATGCTGGTTTCCTCGGTGTGCCCTTGACTGTCCTTGGACCTCGACTGACGCCAGTGCCAGCGCTGTGGACGGTCTATTTCAACTACGGGTGGAAACGGTTGCAGATGGTGTACCAGCTGGAGTGGGGGACGATTGACGATCATCTTGTGGAGGTTCACAAATGATGTCGATCATCTTGCTCTCCGACTTCTCGCTGCTGCAGGAAGATCGCTCGGAGTTCGTTCAGCACCCTTACACGTATAAGAAGCTCAACTCCAACACTCTCAAGGAGGTTGAGCAGCTCGCTGCCGTCCCACCAGTGACGCCCGCCTCTACTTGGCAGGAATTCTATTCAGACCCTTTCGTAGCGATCTTCAGGCCGATTGGAAGCGCGATTGTCGTTTGCTTCTTCATCGCGGTAATCCGATGAGACTTGGAGAGACGGAAGGCTGAATGGTTTCCAGGTTGCTGTTGTACTTTACATGGGATTGGAGGTAGTGAAGATACAAGGAGCAGCGGCGGCGGGAGGCAAGTGTTGCATACTTTTGCTTTTGTGTGTTGGAAGACTGTCTAAATGAGGAGCAGGAGGAGGGGAGTTAGCGATCAAGATAGTTGGGACCGTCGCACAGGTTCGTGTCAAGAGGACGATGATTCGACAAGGAAAAGAATTTGATGTCTTTCTCATGACAGGCCGTGCTGATCTGCGTATTGAAAGTTCTGGGAGGTGGAGAGGGAAACATACTTGATCCTGCGCTCACCCTTAGGACCAGGAATGGCGCTGGAATTCATGACGACAGACTTTGAGAACTGGAAAACGATGTCGCTGGTGAATGGTGTGATAGTGTTGTTGTCCCCCCTGAACCATGTTCATGGCAAACAGTACGATGCGGCTCTTGTGGCCAAGCTCTTTGCCTTCGGACAAGTCAACTCATACTTCGGTTGGCTATGTGACAAACCTCCCTGTCCGCATCCTGACACGAGCTCTGCAGCTCTCTTCTTCGTTGCGGTCCTGGCAAACAACTTCCAGCCCTTCGGTGTCGACGTTTCTTGCCCGGTCGACCTCGAGCTGAGCTCAAGGGCTAGCTGCTGACTTTGCGTACCGTACAGGACAAGTTCTGCCTCAATTACTTGTCCATGATGGTAGTGATTGTTTACGTGGTCTACGCCTTCTCCTTCGTGGTAGACACCCTGAGGTCCAACGTGAGAGATGGATTGAGGATTTTCTAATGATGATGTGAAGGGTGAGATTTAGTCAACCTCTGGACTATGCGAAGGTGAAGGATCGTTGTCTGATGATTTCTCGCTCACTGGAGATGTACTGCAGGAGCAAGAAGAGGCGAAAGAAGGTTCTTAGCTTCATCGACCTGCCTTTCTTCGCTCATCTGACGGTAACGAAAAGATCCGATGCGAATCAAGGAAACGCTCCGAGAGTTTAAGAAACCAAGTCTTGACTGTGAGTCTTCGTTGTCTCTGGCATCAGAGCATCTCATTCAAATCTTGCAGCCAAGTCCTACATCGTGCAGAAGATTCCGGTCCCAGTGAAGCATTCGGGTAAGCTGTCGTCCTAGCTGGACCTGAGTTTCGTCGCTTCATCCCCTCCTACTTCCGTTTTCCTCATCTCGTTTTCTACAGGCATGAACCAACTTTACTTGGACAAGGTCTGTGCTTGGACCTGTCAAACGGATGACAAATCAAGACTCACCTGACGTGGGTGCTCTGCAGATCCTTGAAGCAGGTTACGTGATGTTCTTCGGAGCTGCTTTTCCCCTCCTCGCGTTGCTTTCTGTTGTCTTCAACATCTGGCATTTGCGGAGAAATGCCACCTATGTTCTCCACGATGTCAGACGTCCAAGGTCTCCCAAGAGCTCCCTCCCTACCTCCCTCCCTCCCTCCCTCCCTCCCTCTCTTCAACCATCCTTAGCTCTTTCTCCCCCCATTCTCTGCAATCTTGTGGGAGGTTGAAATTCCCTCAGCTACTCGCGTCTCAAAGACATCGGCGTGTGGATGCAAATCTTGGACATCACCGCTATCCTCGCCGGTAGCCTCCTGCTGTTCCCACCTTGCCGCAGTGACGTGGCATGCCGCAGTTGTGTTTCAATGCGCGATCTTGGCCTTCACATCTCGTTCTCTCTTCTACTTCTTCCCTCACATGAATGTACTGCTGCTGCCCTGTTCGCTCCCCAGGGCTGACAGTCGTTGGAAAAGGACATGGAAGTCGTATTCTTCGCGGGTTGTTTCGAGCATCTGCTGCTGCTGGCCAAGGTGATCTCCCCCGCCCCTCGATCCCTTCCTGTTTCTCTGCCTGTTCCTCCTCTCCTCTCCTTTTCGCCCCTTTTCTCCTCTGATCCACATCCATTCTCTTTCTCCCCCCCCCCCCTCCTCGCCTATCACCTATTTCTACTCGTCCTCCTCTCCTCCTGCTCCTCCTTCCCTCCTCACGACTATTCAGGCTATGTTAGAGCTCAACATCGAAGTCCCAGCTGATGTCCAGCTGAACTACGATAGGAAACAATATGTGAGTCAGCCCAGCAGCCTTGAGGTTGGAGCTGACATGAGCCTGTCACAGTCGATCAAGTGCCTCACAGAGAGCGAAGAGAGAGACCCTGTGATCACAATCCTCCTCCTCCTCCCCCCCGACTCCGAGTTGAGTGCCGGGTCTGCATAGGC